TGCAATGGTGCGGTAGTTTGAACGTTCTTTGACATTGCCCTTCTTTGGGATCGGAATGTAAACTGACCTTTTCCAATCCTGTGGCCACTGTTGAGTTTTCCAAATTTGCTGACATATTGAGTGTAGCACTTTTACTGAATCATCTTTTAAGATTTTGAATAGCTCAGCTGGAATACTGTCACCTCCACTACTTTTGTTGTTGCTCAGACTTCCTAAGGCCCATTTGACTTCACATTCCAGGATGTCTGGCTTGAGGTCAGTGATCACCCCATCATGGTTATCAGGGACATTAAGCTGTTTCTTGTATAGTTCTTCTGTGTAATCTTGCCACCTCTTCGTAATCTCTTCCGCCTCTGTTAGGTTCCTGCCATTTTGGTCCTTTATCATGCCCATCTTTGCATGAAACATTCCCTTCATATCTCCAATTTTCTTGAAGAGATCTCTGATCCTCCCTATTCTATTGTTTTCTTCTATTTCTTTGCACTGTTCATTTAAGAAGGCATTCTTATCTCCTCTAAGTATTCTTTGGAATTCTGCATTCAATTGGGTGTATCTTTCTCTTTCTCCCTTGCCTTTTGCTTCCCTTCTTTCCTCAGCTATTTGTAAAGCTTCCTCAGTCAGCCATTTTGCTTTCTTGCATTGCTTTTTCTTTGGGATGTTTTTAGTTGCTACCTCTTGTACAATGTTGCGAATCTCCATCCATAGTTCTTCAGGCACTCTGTCTATCAGATCTAATTCCTTAAATCTATTTGTCACCTCTACTGTATATTCATCAGGGATAGGATTTAGGTCATACCTGAGTGGCCTAGTGCTTTTCCCTACTTTCTTCAATTTAAGCCTAAATTTTGCAACCAGAAGCTCATGATCTGAGCCACATTCAGCTCCTGGTCTAGTTTTTCTGACTGTATAGAGCTTCTCCATCTTTGGCTGCAGAGCACATAGTCAATCTGATTTCTGTTCTGACCCTCTGGTGATATCCATGTGTAGAGTCGTCTCTTGGGTTGTTGGAAAATAGTGTTTGCTACGACCATCGTATTCTCTTGACAAAATTCTACCAGCCTGTGCCCTGCTTCATTTTGTACTCCAAGGCCAAACTTGCCTGTTATTCCGGTTATCTTTCGGCTTCTTACTTTAGCATTCCAATCCCCCCCATGATGATAAGGACATCATTTTTTGGTGTTAATTCTAGAAGGTGTTGTAGGCCTTCATAGGACTGGTCAACTTCAGCCTCTTCAGCACCAGTGGTTGGGGCATAGACTTGGACTATTGTGATGTTGAATGGTTTGCCTTGGATTCAAACTGAGATCATTCTGTCATTTTGGAGATTGTATCTCAGTACTGCTTTTCCTACTCTTTTATTGACTATGAAGGCTACTCCATTTCTTCTGAGGGATTCTTGCCCGCAGTAGTATACCTGATGGTCATCTGAATTAAAATCACCCATTCCTGTCCATTTTAGTTCACTGATTCCTAAGATGTCGATGTTCAGTCTTGTCATCTCTTGTTTGACCACGCCCAGCTTGCCTTGATTCATGGATCTTACATTCCAGGTTCCTATGGAGTATAGATCTTCGCAGCATCGGACTCTCACCACCAGATATATCTGCAACTGAGTGTCCTTTCGGCTTTGACCCAGTTGCTTCATTCTTTCTGGTGCTACTAGTACTAGCCCTCCGCTCTTCCCCAGTAGCATATTGGACACCTTCCGACCTGAGGGGCTCATCTTCCGGCGTCACATCTTTTTGCCTTTCGGTAACGTCCATGGGGTTTTCATGGCAAGGCTACTGGAGTGGGTTGCCATTTCCTTCTCCAGTGGATCATGTTTTGTCAGAGCTCTCTACTATGACCTGTCCATCTTGGGTGCCCCTGCACAGCATAGCTCATAGCTTCATTGAGCTACGCAAGCCCCTTCGCCACAGCAAGGCAGTGATCCATGAAGGAGTTTCAGGAACTACAAGTTGTCCATCCCTGATCTAGAGAAGCTTTTTGCATCTCCTCCTTCATTAAGAAACGGGAAGTTAGGGGGAGTGCAGAAGTTATTGCTTACTTCTTGAGCAAGTCATTGAATAATTCCCTCCCAATGCTAGTCATTTGCCTACTGTTATTGTACCTAGATGTTTCTTTAAGAGCCCGATTAATATGGGATTTTCATGGGTAGCAACATGTATTATATGACGATTCTCTTTTCTGACACCTGGCAGAGTCAGAGCAGACTTCCCAGCTGGTCTCGGGGCTGCAGACCAGGCAAATTCCCAGAAAGTGGCCAGTTAGAGTGAGCATAATGGAAGAGCTCAGGAGTTTGGCAACAGAGTTGTAACAGAAGAGAAAACAAAGGCAAAGCTGACTCGGCAATTAGCCTGTGAGGAAGACAGGACAACATGCTGGTCGTTCCAACACAAGAATGTAGTAGAATCAAAAAAAGGAGAGCAGGCTATGGACAGAAACAAACTCTCCAGTGCTGGTGATTTGCAAGCTTCATGCAATGTTAGTTTCTGGCCTGAGATCCAGAAGGCCTGTGCACCCAACAAGTGCGAGCTGGTTTCCCCGTGGGAGAAAGGGTGAGAGTCCAGGAGCAACGAGTTTCCACTCTCAACGGAATAAGGCAAAGGGTTCTTAGACAGAGCAGTGGAACTGCTGCTGAAGTACAAGATTTAGAAGTACAACACGCTGGGGCAGAAGAGGGGAATCCAGAGACAAGTGAAAATGAAGTCAAGGAAATGGTCTGGAAAGGAGTGACAGTTAAGAAGCAAAGACCTTGTTCCACCAAGCTAGTCTCAGGGAACAATACACTTCAAAAAGGAGTTGCTTGCCTTCTGGACACCTGGAGAGGTTTATGATCCTTTGCTGGGGTCCAACATGCCCCAGCTTTACATTTACATAAACACACAACACACTTGGAAAGCAAAAGGAAAGTTTTTTTGGAAGCAAATATAGAGCAGGTACAAACGCTTAACCCAGTGTGGTCTAGGCAGCAAATACTCCTACTGCATCCCAATCCTACGCTATTTATAAAGAGATAAAGAGCTCCTTTCGAATAGCCTTATAGATATCAAGCTGCTAAGAGGAAAAAGAGAGGGAGTCCCAGGTTCTGCATGGGGTTGCAACCCACATGAAGACTTTCCAGTGTGCTCTCTCCCTGGAAGATAGATCAGAGATAGGACTGAGAGGTTGCCAAAGCTCATACAGCCCACGGACAAGTATCCCAAGTGACGCTCTGGAGATGTCAGACTTTGAAGCTTTGGGAAGGAAACTCAAGGACTTTGAGGCCCAGGTAACTTCTCATCCATCCTTCTAGCACTTAGAAGAGGAACAGAAAGGAATGAAAAATACTCTGCCTGACTGTGAAGGTGGTGCCAGTGTGAGAGATCTGGATTATGAGACCATGGGTTGCACTTCCTGGAAGATCGATTGCTTTGAGAACACCATCCCCATGGCGAAGCAGAGCGGTGCCAGCATTGTATTGCGTGGATGGTTTAAGAACGCAATGGAAGAATACAATACTGGTAGAGCTGGAAGGCCTTTCAGTTCAACCCCCTGCTCTCCTTCCACATGTGGTCACCCATCCAGCTGCGGACCTGTACCTTTCCAGCTTAGCAAGGAATTTGCTCCCCCAGTTTTTCTGAACAGTAGCTGAAGAAGCCATGATAAGCAGCAAGGGCAGGGATACAGCCACCTGCAACTCAAGCACTGAGATGCAGGATTCTCAGCCGTGAATCTGATGCCAATATTCACCAATGGGAGCCTCCACAGACATGAGCACAGCATTTTCAGAAAGACCATTTGCTGGGATGGTTGTCATAATATCAGGCCTACAGCGTACTGGTTTGTGCTGAAGCATGCAACTGGGTCTGGTCCAGTTAGTTAAACGTGCTGTTGCTTAGAAGAAATGCCTTAAAAGTCAGTCCACAAGATGTAAGAAGGTGTGTTTCTGACACTGTCCTCTTCCCTTGCAAAGACAGGAACTAAGGACACAAAAACCAGCATGCACGGATGCTGCCTGACCTCTTTGCTGAGCACTGAATGATTTACCTGAAGTGAATGAGATAACAACCTTTGAGCACAGAAACATAGAAACTGAGTCAGAAGGGGCCTCCCGGGCCATCTAGTCTGACCCCTGGCTCCAGCCAGCTCCGCTCACGACATGCCCACCATGAGCATGTCCAGCCTATCCTTGAACACCCGCACCGATGGGGCCTCAACAACCTCTCATGGAAGCCCATTCCACATCCTCCGGGTCCTGACTGTCAGGAAGTGCTTCCTGGCATCTAAATGGAGCCTTGGCTCCCTGAGCTTTGCTCCATTGGAGCGCATCCTGCCTTCCTCTGCAGGGGAGAACAGGTCTACCCACCTCAGTGTGACACCCCCTCACATACCTGTATGTCGCCAACATACCCCCACCGAGTCTCCTCTTCTCCAGGCTGAAGAGACCCAGTTCCCTCAGTCTCGCCTCATACCCCATCCCCTGCAAACCGGCCACCAACCTTGTGGCCCTACGCTGCACTGACTTTAACCTGGCCATATCCTTCCTGTAATGAGGGGCCCAGAACTGAGCACAATACTCCAGTTGTGGGCACACCAGAGTCGTGTAGGGTGGTAGTAATACCCCTCTCAATCTAGAAGCCATGCTTCTGGCTATGCAACCAAGGGTGGCGTTCGCCCTCTTGACCGCAGCATCACACTGCTGACTCATGTTCAGCCTGCACTCAACCAGCACCCCATCATCATCTTTTGCCATCCACTGGGGTATAAACCAGGAGCAGGAGGAGGAGGAGGAACGTGGAGAGAGAGTCCCTCATCCACCCACATGCTGGACCACTGCTCCCTCTGCCAGCATTTTGCTCCTCAGGGAGATTTCAGTTATTTCACAGCATTACTGGCTGGAGATCCTCTCATCTACCTGTAGTAAGAAGATAGGTGAGCATAAGACGAGAGAGTAACTGTGGTAAGTGTCTTACTCCAGAAGACAACTTCAGGGCTTCGGGTTTCATTGCAACTCTTACCTCTTTGTGGCACTCCCTCAGCATCCGAATGACAACGTTGCATTCCTCAGTGTGCAAATGAGGAGCCAAGTGCGGGTGCATTGTGAGTTAAGGAGAGTTCATCAGAAAAATAAAAAGACTTCTACCTGTAAATATGGAGACCTTTTTTAATCCAGAGTAATGCTACTTTACCCTGTGTTTATTCATTAGTGACACATAATATTACCAGAATGAGAGTGGGGTTATAAAGTAAGGTTATCTTTAGCTCCTCCCCTGCAGTAAGTTGGAAATCTTGGGTCAGCTCATCAATCAGCAATCCTGTATGGATCAAAAAAGCATTTAGGGATTATTAGTGTATTATCATCATTCTGGAAAACAAATCAGAGCACTAGATTGGGGCACAGAAGACTGGGATTCAAATCCCCAATCAGCCATGAAGTTCATTGCATGACTTCAAGAGAGTCGTTTTAATCTAGTTCACACAGATTGCTAACCTAGGGTTTCTTTCATTCATACTCAATCCATGGTTTGCTGCCCTTCCTAAGGTTTTCCTGGCAGACAATTGAACAAGCTGTGGCTTGTTTCCCAATGCCTGTGCTGTTGGGTTCCCTCCTGCTCTGCCCATTCTCACCCTGTATCCCATATAGCTTTGCAGTGCTGAAGTACAGGTACGTACAGTACTTGTTCCACTGTCGTCCGCCACCTCTGTAAGCCTGGTGAACCAGGGCTTCTGGGTTCACACATAACAAACAGTCATGGTTTAACCGACCCACAGTTCAGAACCCAAATATCATGCCCTGCCCTGAGCAGGAGTCATCAGAGGCAGACAAGGGAAGAACCAGCACAGCAGTCCCTGCCTAGAGTCAGGCCATGCAGCTGATGCCGCAGCTGAGATCTAGAAGAGCAGCCCTGCCTCCCTTGGACTTCCCAAGGGCAAGAGGCAGACCAGAGGGAATTCACCCCTTGGAAAGGAGGAAGGTCAAGTCTGAGCAAAGGAGGTTCACACAGAAGGAACAGGGTGGGACCACCGTTAAAAGCAAGACAACCAACCTAATTAGTCACCTGTCCAGACTTAACAGCTACCTGTAAATGGATCCATCCAGAGCCTGTTTTCTGTTGCAGACAATGGCATTTCAACCAGCGCTTGCCCAGATGTTTAGGACTGGACAGATTCCTGGATATTTGACTACCCACCTGGACCACTCTCTTAAACAGCACTACCTGGCCTGGATGCTTGGCAGGACAAATTCTATGGCCTGACCTCTGGACTGGACTAGACTGGACTGGTTTCTCTCTTTGGTTACTTCCTGAAGATACATCAGCCTGAACTTGGAACTTCTGACACAGGAGCAAGATACCAACTACAAATCATGGGTTCTCTTTCTGGATTGTTCATGATTAACAAATCATGGCTTATTAGCGTGGTCAGTTCTGCAACATTATAAACCAGAATTCAACAATGAATACCATGGGTAAGCATTAAGTGGGAACCCAGCCTCTCTCACTGCCTTATAGGTATTGGAATAAGGACAAAGTGAGGAGTGATGGAGAACCATTCACAGTCCCCTTCACCACCACGACCTTTCCACATTCTGCTATATTACAACCTAGAACTGACATGGTTTAATTGACATTGCTATTATTTGATGTGCACAACACACTTGACACTGTGAAGGTACAAAATATATTTACTGTGGCATAAAAACTGAGTAAAGGAAACCAAACTGGCACTTACTGGTTATAAGTATTCTTGCCCCTCATACAGATTTATTTGTACCATGTTTAAATTTATTTTAATACTTTTCAACACGAATACATTAAAGCAAAATAAAATAAATCCAAATTAATACATATTAACAGATAATCCCTCCCCAGTTTAATCCATGTTAATTTGTCCTATTTCATTCCTTTTTAATCTTTTCCAAGTCTCAGAATTTTCCATAAGCTTCTTCCAAAATTATTCTATTCAAACCCTTCTCCTTATAATCTATATATTTTCACCAGTCCTTCCAAGAAGCTGTTTTCTTTATTCTTTTGTACACTCTTAACTTCTGTGTCAACCTTTCATCAATTGCTATATACCATATCTTCTTTTTCCACCTAGATACTGTCAGCATCTGATCTGTCTTCCAATTATTTGCTATTAATTCAGCTATCAAGAAAGCAACTCATTTCCCCTTTTATTTCTCTTTCACAAATGTTCAATACATCTGAGTCTGGTGTTCTACATATTGCTTGTTCAGTAACTTTTTCTATTTCTTTAAATATTCTATACCAAAACTCACTTTCCTGCATTCCCACACATGTGCATTTGTGTCCCATTAATTCCACATCCTTTCCAACACAGAGATAAATTCCTGCTTATTTATGCCAATTTCTCCGGTGTCAAGTACAATTTCTATCCCCTTTTTTAGTCAATAACAACCATATCTTGTGTTTGATCATAATTTTATATAATTTAGATATTATGTCTTCATCTCCATAGTCATATTTATCTATTTGCCTTACTATCTCTCTAGTTCTAGTAAAATTGCTGACATGCATCCATAATAACCATGATAGCCCCTTATTTCTCACTCAGTTATTCCATATCTCATGTTATATGGTAGTGCTCTTTATAAAAAATTCTCACTCGACTCAAACCTATTTCTTTCAACATAGTTTTCCCAACCAGTATCCTTTTTATATTATAGCGGATAATTCCTGGCATTCACTTGTTTCCTAAAATGCCGTACTTTTAATAATCCTTTTATTGCACTTCCTTTATTTCTTATTTGTTCTTTACAGACTTTTAAATATAAAACATATTCTGTATTTCTTCTTGTAATTCCCTTTCTATTTCTATCCAATGTACTTGCACCCCTTCCTTCATTATGGTTATATGTCTTAACTGATAGGCAGCAGAATATGTTTTTAAATGTGGCATACTCCATCTGCCTTCTGGCAAAAATCTGTATCTAAAAATACGGGTATTCATGATCTTTCACTCTTAATGTTTTTACTGTCAATTTAGTCATACTTTAAACTTTTCCTGTGGAATTTCTTTCAGAAGTACCTTAAAAAGATAGGTAAGTTTTGTTAATACCGTTTTATAATCATAATCTGAGAACCAGTGTGGTGTGAAGTTAACTGGGACTCAGGTGATCTGGGTTCGAGTCCTGCTCAGCCATGGAGCCAACTGGGTGACTTTGGGCCAGTCACTGAATCTCAGCCCAACCTACCTCACAGGGTTGTTGGTGGGGGGGGGTGGCATTTAGTCCACTCTGTTCAGCTGCCTTCCTAGAGTTTTGTGTTTGGTTTTGAACTGCCAAGGAGTTGCAGTAAGTACAGCAATCAGTGCTCCAAAAAGAAACTGCAAAAAGTGTGAGGCGAAATCACACTCTTAGGGAAGGCTGGAGAGTGAGGGGAGTGTTGAAAAAGTGGAGGGAATTGAAAAAAATGTCTGTTCAACACTTAAAAGTGACACAATGACCCAATCCTGAAGGGGAGATATTGTCCCCTCACCCTGCCTGAGGTGCAGCCACTTTTGCCACTACTTTCTGTGTTTTTCAATCAAAAACTTGAGATCTGATTCCTGGAAACTGCGCGAATTAGCCTATATGCAGCCTTGGCCTGTCAGTTTCTATGTGTGCTCCCTTATCAGTTGAAACACACAACACAATTGACCAGGCAAGAGTAGGTGCCTGGACTCTGCAAGAACACACAAAATCAACAAAGAAAAAGAATATGAACACGTTTGCAAAGTTGTCTAGGACTGAAAAAGATAACTTTAAAATCTAACTTACATGTAAAATTAATTAAACTAAATTAATAAATTTATTTATTTAATTTAATTAATGAATTCCAAAGACATGTGGACATTGGTGGAGGGGCAGGTCTTGATGCTGAGGTCAAATGGCTTACTAGCCAATTCCCTTAGTACTTGACATAATTGCTCTTCCTGGTTCAGATAACATGACAACCATTCATGAATTGAACAATACCTAGAACATGAGTTGCATTAAGAAACAGGGAACACAAGTATGCTGGGGGTGTGTGGTCAAAATCATAGAATCGTAGAATAGTAGAGCTAGAAGAGACCATGAAGGCCATCGGGTCTAACCCTCTGCGGTTGCAGGCCACCAATTTACACCATCCCACTCAAAAGAACATCACAGTTTATTCAGACATACAGGAAATACATGCAGCATATAGCTAGCACCCCCCGCCCCCCGCCCGGCAAAGGGACTACCAAGATGCCAGGAAGCACTTCCTGATGGTTATATGGAATGGGTTTCCATGGGAGGTGGCTGAAGCCCCATCGGTGCAGGTGTTCAAGGACAGGCTGAACATGCACATGGTGGGCATGCCATAAGCGGAGTCAGCTGGAGCTGAGGGTCAGACTAGATGGCCCTGGCAGTCCCTCCTGACTAACTTTGTTTCTGTGTTTCTAAGTTTTCTGTAAAACCACACTAGCTTCTTCTGAGATCTTCTACCCTTTTTTCAGGCTCTGAGGCAGCTTCAGGGCTCCATCTACTGGCTAAGCACCAGAATAACAGCCATGGAAGTTGCAGGATTAGTCTGACAATCCACTGCAGCTGCCAAGGCCCTCATGAGCACCACCCAGGAGCCCTGAGGGAAGAGCTATGTAAGAACTGGCTTTCCTGGGTGTTACTGGCTGAATTCCTGCTTTACTCTTACTCCCTCGAGGGTGGACACTCCAGTGCTCTCACATTTCCTTCCAGCAAGGCTATGAGCTTGCAATTGTTGCCTGTGTACGCCATGCTGACCTCAGGCAAGAACACAAACATTGCCCAGACCCTGCAGGTCACCGCCACTGGGGAGTCATCTTGGCCCATAGCCTCTACTTCCTTTCTGCGTCGACCTTGCTGGCTGTGTTGCAAGCAACCTGTGCGTTCTCTGGTCTTCCCTGAAGGTCACTGGCCAAGTCCCCTTTGCCACTACCTTTGTCTCCTCTTGCACTGCAACTCCCTCTCACTAGGATCACTTGCTCTCTGGGAGCTCGCTTGCTTGTCTAGAATAGTCCCTAGACCAGCTGGGGCAGCTTCCTCTGCTCTGCCTAGCTAAGAGCCAGGGACCAGAACGACACGTCCCCTCCCATACAGCTGCTGAGAGTATTTATTTATTTATTTATTTAGAAAATTTCTATGCCGTCCCATTCGCCGAAGCCTCGGGGCGGCTCACAAAATTAGGCCACTCCCTTGGAGTTGCAGCTCTCAGGAGCACAGGGTGAGTTATTCACAAAATGACCAGTAAACACAGGCAAACCGGCATGGCTTAAGGAACAGTATTGTGAGCAAGAGCCAAGAACAAACCATCCAATCTCAGAGTTCTCTGTTCCAACATGCATTTTACAGAAAGCAAACTGATGAGGCTCAAGGAGAAGCAGCTTGGCAGAGAGGGGTCTGAATCAGCACACTAGTGCTAGAAGCTACTGCCCTGTTTGCCACATGCCAACTTCTCTGGGTTTTTTAATTTCAATTTTTATTTTAATATGAGTGGAAGGGAGCCTGCATGTGTCCATGGACACTCTGTTACGACTAGTCAGCACAGAAAACAGAGCAGAAGAAGACAAAATCAGTGCAAAAATTAGACCAGATGGTGTGTCTGAGGGCTACATTCTAGACTCAGTCTTACAGAATGCCTACTCGATTAATTAGTTACTGGAAGTTGCACTGGATTTATAACTGTACAGCTCCTAGCAGTGATTAATTCATTTAGTTTAGTCCATCTTGTAATTAGTTCTAAGTTCTATATATGCACGCATGCACAGTAACATTAAGTTTGCAAATGTTTGGAAATAAAGAGTTAAATAAAAATTGTTCAGAAATAACGTCCGCCTAGTGCTGTCATTATTTGTTTTTCAGCACCAGACCAAGACCTTTTTATTTAAAAGTTATTTTAATTGTTAATTGACTATTTATTGGGTTTTATATTGTGCCGAGATGTCTCCGAATTTTAAGGCTAGTTGTGTGTATTGTGTCTGTTTTGTAAGCTGCCCCGAGGCTCTTTGCGAATGGGGCAGCATATAAATGTTTTAAATAAATAAATAATAAACTCATAGGAAAGGATGGGGAGGGCTCTCAATGGAAAAGAAATTCTTCTGAAATAAATATTGAGCTTCAAAACACAAGAATAATATAGAAATTGGAAAAACAGAGCAAGTGCTCTGGAAGAGAAGTTGGCTGAAAAATTGCTGAGCAAACACCATTATGATCTAAAGCCGCTACTTGGAAAAAAGCATTAAAGATTAATCCCATTATTAAAACACCATATCAGGTAGTGCAGGGCATCAAGCTAGTTGCCTCCATCTCAGATTTATGTATTGGAAAGCTAGTTGGCTTACATGCATATCTCTTGCTAATGTTTAACAGGATTAACAAGTCAGCAAAGATCATGATATTCTGTGTTGCATTTATGTGGAAACTGGCTCCTTCTGCTGCAGTTGTGCTTCTCCATTTAATCTAGGGGTCTGTCAGCCTTGCGGACCAAATTCCAATTAACCGCATGTCAGTGCTGGGTATGGCCAAAGACAAGTGGGGCAGACCTGTCTGAGCAACTGAAACAATCATGTCTACATTCAACTTTGAATTCAATTTTGCTATTATTTACAAACACATGCTGCAAGGTCACTGTGAATATTAAGAACATCGATATATAGATAATACATGTTGCATGGATAACATAACACATGCAAATAATTTTTAGCTCTCTCCCTTGACTTAAAATCACAGAATAGTAAATTTGGAAGGCCATCAGGTCCAGCCCCCTGCTAGTGCAGGACACCACATTACACCATCCCACTCAGATGGCTGTCTCTAGTCTGGGAGAGCCCATTGCTTCTCCAGGCAACTGGTTCCACTGTTGTCTTGCTCTGACGGTGAGGAAGCTTTTCCTGATGTCCAGCCTGAATCTCGGTTGTTGTAGCTTGAGCTGATTATTTCGTGTCCTGCACTCTGGCACCAGCAAGAAGAGATCTTGACCTTCCTCTCCGTGACAGCCTTTGAGGGACTTCTAGAGGGATATCATGTCCCCCCTCAGTCTCCTCTTCTCAAGGCTGAACATGCCCAGTTCTTTCAGTCTCTCCTCACAGGGCAGTGTCTCCAAACCCTGGGTCATTTCTGTTGCCCTCCTCTGGACTCAGAAGTTTTCTGCATCTTTCTTAAGTCTAGATGCCCAGAAATGGCCACAGTATTCCAGATGAGGTCTGACTAGTGTTGAGTATAGTGGAACTAGGACTTCAGTGCTTTGGAAGTGACAGGTCTGTTGATGCAGCCCGAAACTGCGTTTCCCTTTCTGCAGTTGGATCACACTGTTGCCTCACATTTAGCCTGTGATCTACAACAACCCCAAGATCCTTCTCCTCTGCAGGACCGTTCGGTCAAGCGTTCCCCGTTTTGCAGCGCTGCTTTCGGTTTCTCGTTCCTGGCAAGAACAAGGGACGCGGCATTTGCCCCTCTAGATTCCCACTCTTTTGCCCCCTGCCCCGCATTCTGCCCTATCGAGATCTTTTCTCTGCCCTCCAAGGATTCTGCTATTCCACCCAGCTTGGTGTCGTCTGCAAATTTAATTAACTTTCCTGGTACTTCCTCATTGAAGTCCTTAATACAAAGTGGACGAGCGCCGGTCCCAAGACTGAACCTGCGGCGCTGGTCGCCTCCACCAGGAGGCACACAGCTCCTGGGCTTCCCCGCTTCCCACCTACCTCGCTTTTCACACAACCTCACGAAAGGCGTACCCTTAACGCTTGTGTCGTGCACAGCCCACCCTGTCGCGGGCACAAAATTACCGCCGGCAGCCTTTCGAGGCTCTGGACTACAACTCCCGGCATGCCGCGGCAAGGTCGGGAGGCGCTTGCGCGGGAGGGCTGTTACCTACGCCGAGCACTGCGCAGCCGCCCTCCCGGGCGGCGCCCCGCCCTCCGCGCGGATTGGCCGGCCGGCGGAGCAGGCGGGCACGGATTGGGCCGTTCGAAGCTGAGCCGCGGCGGCTCCCTGAGGCGGCGGAGACCGTGAGGAGAAGGGGCGGCCGGATGGCGAAGCGGCGCGCGCGGGACGGCTGCGGCCGGAGCCCTCCGTCCAGGTGAGTCGCGCGGGGCGAAGGCGAGCCGGGGCCGAGCAGCAAGGGGCGGACGGGGAGCGCTCTCTTAGGCGCCGCCCTGCGCGCGCCTGGCGCGGAGTGCCCGCCCCCAACAGAGCAGAGATGCGCGGGTCGCTCTTCCTCGCGGCAGCCCGCCTTCCCTGTGGCGCCTGCACAACAACCCTGCGAGGTAGAGCGTGGAGTACCGAGGCAGCGTGGCCGCTCACCGGTGAGAGTGAGTGGGGAGCTTGGTTGTGGTGCTTTGCGCTTGCACCGGCACTGCTATGACGTTCATAAACCCCAGCTAGCGTGGCCTGAAGCAGACACAGTAAGCGCTAAAGGAGTGCAGCTCAGGCATGCTTTGCAGATTTGTTGTACGTTTGTGTTGGTACCAAGATGGACCTACCCCATCCAGATATCATGCAGACGTGTAGAGAGTAGAGCTCCCTGGCAATCCATTTCTGAGGATTATCATGAGATTTGTAATTAAGTAACTGTAATGTAGAGAGAAATTTGGGTATCTATGATTTTGATAATATTAGTAATCATATTATGGAAAATGCTCTACTTGCTTTAAATCTTGCTGCCCTACAGCTTTAAATGTCATTCAAAGCAAACAAAAGACTCAAACGTTTTAGCCAGTCTTTGTTCAGAATGTCACAGTCCATCTGTTCTAATGTTGTCATATGCTTTTAAGCTGATCTAGCCAGAATTGTGCAGAACGCCCATTTTCATACATCGTAAGCCAGAATTCTGAAAAACCTGTTCTGTATGAGTCACCCGGCTAGTGCGTGTTGCCTGATCACATCATGGGTCTTCTGTCTGTGGTTCACTGTGATGTATGAACCAGGAATTCTGATTGTCACTCCCTAGATGAGCCAGAATCATAAGCCACAAACAAACCATAGCTTATGACTCTGGCTTGCCAAGGGAGAAACAATCCAGAGTACCTGGTTCACATGTCATAGCAGCAAACCACAAACTGAAGGTCTTTTGGTTGTTTACTCACTCCTTACTTGCAGGAGGGCCCAAGTGGCAGCAGCTGAGCAGCATTTTCTGTCAGTGTCAGAATTCTGACTTCCTGGTATGTTGCCCCATCGTTCAAATGTGGATGTGATGTTTATTATTGTTATTAGGATTGACAGTTCTATACAGCCTGTAGCTGAAGCCTTCTGAGTGGTTCACAACATTTCAGTCACCCATCCAGATTTCAGCCAGCTTACACAACTGCTTTACAATACTCATCACATGTCTTGAATTACTATCTAAATAACTCAACATTAAATTTAACTTTTTTACTGTATAATGAGATGTGGGTTTTTTGAGGGAAAAATTCCATGTTTTATTTTGAAGGGTCTTCATTATGGATGAGACAGTCACTGAATATATTAGGAGAACTGTGCTGCGAATCCCACGTTCTGAAACAGGAAAAATGCTGACTGCATGGGGGTTTTTGTCTGAGGCCCAGCTTCAGTCTTTAAACATTCATCAGTTAAAAGAAAACTTGTCTCAAGACGTAGTTCAGCTTTGTGAGGTGAGAACAAATTTTTGAAAGTGCGTTGTGAAACTTGTATGAAAGTTTTTATGTCATCCCTTAGTTCATAAGACATTCTTGATGCATAGGCTCTTATAGACATGTGTTGTAGCAAAGGTATTAAAAATATTGGGTGGGAAACATTATTGGCGGCCTACTATTTTAAGTCTGCTTTTACTATAATCTGCAAGGTTTCCATTCATCCCTTAAAAACTGGAACTTACTAGCCCAGTTCACATGTCACAATAACCTGGAATTATTTAAAATGCTATGTTATTGCAAGCATATCATGTTTAGTGCATGTTTGTGGGAGCAGCCAAGCAATCCAGGGACAGCTTTGGCTTGTTGGGAGGAAGACACTGATTTTCACATCATGATAACATGTCCTAGCTATGTTCACCGAGCAAAACAAAACCTGGGTTAAGTGTAGACTGGAACACTTACTTTAATCTTACTTCAGTTGTAATACTTGAAATATTTAATATAGTAAAATCAATTGTAAATTGCACAGTTGGCCCATTTGATTCTCTTTGTTAGCTAGATTAGCACTTAATCTTCCTTAAAGAGGATGCATAAGAGTGTGGGACAGGGACTCAGGAGGTCCGGGTTCTAGTCTGCACTCAGTCCCTGGATGATTTGGGGTCAGTTACAAATTCTCAGCCAACTTACCTCACCAGGCTTACCGTACCTTGTTGTGAGGAGGGGGAAGAGAATGATGTAAGCTGCCTTGGTCAAGTGCAGGAAAAAAGAGGGAATAGAAATATTATAAAAGAGACGATCAACTGACTTATTTTTGGAGGTGATAGTTGCATATTTTCTTGCTATGGAAATATCTCTAATGGAAAAGCCATCAAAGCAAAGGGAATAGGTTGTATTCCTCTGAGATAAGGGAAGGGGGCAGACTTGTCTGTGTGCACATGGCTGAGTGTAAATGAACTGTATCTTGAACTGATCTTGAATTGTACAGAAAAGGCACCTTTTGGAGTTGAAAGAACTTTCTAGTCAGCTAGTATGGAATAGCAGATCTGCTGCTCAGTAGGAATACAAGGTATTTTCCTCCACATCTTTAGATGTCCTAGAAAGCAAACTCATTTAGCATATTTATGTTACTTCGTTTAGTAAAAACAAAGTATCCCTTATTATCTTGGGCTTGCTTATGACTTACCCTTCCATGAATCCACACTTCCCTTGGCCTTTCAAGCACAAATTCTGATGGGAAGGACGGAGTGCCTGGGACCAGCAAATATACCCTATGTTATCTTGGTCCTATATTGCTTTATGATGCTATCTGAACTTTACTGCATTGCTAAAAGAATTATCCTGTGAGTTGATGCATGCCTGTTCGTTGCTTGTAAACAAACACAATTTGTGTGATTGCATGACATCATTGCTGATCCCAGGTGGCTTCATCTAGTAAGGCATCAGCTGAAGCTTCCAATTTTCTGGCTTTGTGGAACTTGAGCCAACATGAGATAGTCTTAAACTAGCAGGGTTTTTATCATGGGATGTCCTTTGTTTTTATAAAGTACATACATTTATTATTGTGTTAACACATCTATGTAATTAACTGAGCAGATATGTATAAATGACAATCCTTGTATATTCAGAACAACATACTCTGAGTAAGTCTGTATTGGATTTCAACATTGCCTTTCCTTTTCTTCCTCCACCACCAACCTAGAATGATTCCTTCAGCCTTCAAAATTACTTCACACTTACCTTGACATGTTCCCTGCTACTCCCTGCCTAATATCAGATGCTGACAAGAATGTACATTCAAAACATTGGGATACACTGGCAGCATTCTTGCTTCAGAGTAAACCTGAGCATGGCCAACATAGTTTTGCCTGCAGTTGCCCAGCATAGACTTTCATGGGGCAGGAAAAGCTGAGAATTTTTAAACCACTGCTCAGAATGTCACCAAACCAATGAAAGGCATGCCATCACAGCAAGACTTAATATAATGCATCTATAGTTTTCCCCAAAATTTGAAACAAATATAATATAGCTTGAGTAAAAATATAAATGTGTCAGTTTTCAGTACTTATTAACTTGCTATATCTGTGATAATAACAGGATGAAATTAAGGCAGTTTAATTTGGACTTCCTATAGGTAGACTTCCTATAGGTGTCATTTTTACATACACTAGGACAGTGATGGCAAACCTATGTCACACATGCTACAGCGGGCACACAGAGCCCTCTCTGTCGGCACACGAGCCAAGTTGCCCCAGCAGCCAAGCATTGGATAACAGCACACATAGGGGCCATGCGCATGCTCGGAAAGGAGTAGCAGTGCCAGGCAATGACGTCATGAGCTGCGACTCGTCCGAGCTTTTGCATGGCCGGTCACTGCGCTGCCAAGGAGAGAGAGAGAGAGAGAGATTTGCTTGGACAGGCTGTGAGTTTTAATATATTCATTTTTATTAACACAAGATTTTAGCTTTGAGTTTTCTTATGAAAAATTGAAATTTAATATCTAAGATTTAGCAAAGGGATGTTCTAATTAATGTATATTTGAATCTGCAGCATCATATTCAGGTTTTATTGCAGTGTTGGCACTTTGCAATAAATGTGGGTTTTGGGTTGCAGTTTGGGCACTCGGTCTCTAAAAGGTTCGCCATCGCTGCACTAGGACTTTGATGCTTAGATTGACAGAACCTTTACATTGGAAAAAATGACATCCACTAAGTTTCCATTACACTAAAAAATTATGATTATCACTTGAGTTTGTTACACAGGCTTTGTATTATAATATTAAGTGATAACCATTGCTTCAATTATAGTTAATGGCTTTTTGATCTTTTGATTGCCCGTGGAACATTTTGTACCAAATCAACAGAATTTGGCACATGAAGGTTGTATCATAGTTTACCAGAATTTTTCATTATATATGTTGAAGTGTATCTACAGCCAAAATAAAAATTAAAGAATTCTATCACAGCGTGGGGCAACCAGCACCTTGTTGAAATTTGTTAAATGTTTTACAGAAAATAGTGGAGTAGACCAAACTTTTGGGATGGGGGTGGTCATGCCCCCGCATGATAGGAAAATGTGGAGGAACTGTAGGCACATTTCAATGTGTAGAATTTCATCACCTTTATGCTATAAGAAGTCCTGATGCCTCTTAAAAATATGCAATTATCTTGAACAGTGTTGATTTTTAGGAATGAATATATTGTATTAAAATTCTCATGAGTTGTTCATTCTATCCTAAAGGAAAATTGCGCAACCATCAAGCATGCAGCCAATCTAGACATAATTTGTAAGTAAAGTGCTGGTTTTGAAACATTATAGTTATTGTAAAGAATGTGATTTTATTTTGTTAAAAATAATTAAGTACTATTTCAGATAAGCCCTTATCACTTCCTTTTGATGAGATTGACATGTGTCTAGTCCATCATATAACTTTACCTACAAAACGAAACAGGTCCAGTTTCATTTGTGAAGTAATATAATAATCTTAAGGATGCCAGCACGCTCTCTTTCCATCCTGATTTTTACTTTATTTCTCTTAAGATTTAAAAAATGCAATTAACTGGCAAACTGAAGTACTGTCTTTCAGCAGCATCTTTATCTGGTTCAGAAGAGGGTTTTTTTTTTTTA